CTGCGAAGCTGCTTCACCGCTCCCCAGTCCCCATTCGTGGCCCTTTCCAGGCGGTCACGTTCCCATCGTTGCCGGGCTTCCTTCCGCATCCTCCTAGCCTGTGTCCACTGCCCCTGCTCGCCCGCATCCCTGGCTGCTCGAAAAGCACGTCTCACACTCACCGGGTCCCTGTACGCATGGCCCCGCTGCGGTTGGGTGTGCTGCTCCGCAAGCCGTCGCAGCTCTGCCTGATCAAGCTCCCCAACGGTTGTGATTGGTGTCACCAGGGTTCTGGGTCTTGTTGTGTGCTTGGTCCCCGTCTTCCCAACCCTCAGCGCCACATCAGTCGACAGGATCTCATGATCAGTGTTCAAGCTGCAGAAAGACCCCACATGGATGTGTAAGCTGCTATGTTGCACCCTGGAGCACAGAAGCGCGTCAATCTGTTTCCCTGCCTTGTCCTGCTGTCTGGGCCTCGTAGTTGGCGTCTCCCATGCGTCCTCAGGCGGAGCTACAGCAACCAGCCCTCGACCCCGGCACTGCTGCAGGAACTCGGTCGTCTTGCCATTCCTGCCAATTGCCCTTCGCACTCCCTCTTCATCTTGACCCCAACTGACTTCAGCATTTACATCACACCCCAAGATGGTCCCTAGTTGCGTCGGCGGTAGCTCCTGTAGGTGTCCCGAGACTTGCGCGGCATGCTGGGTCTGAGTGCAACCTGGCGAGAAGTGGGCACTTCCCACCCACACTTCGACCCCAGAGAGGTGCCTAAGTCTAAGCCACACTCCGCGCTCCGAGGCTTTTCGGCGCATGACTTTCCATTGTGCCGAGCGGAAGGCAACACCAGACCCACGCCACGCTTCGTCATGACGGTGGGACACCAGCAGCCACGACCCCTGATTCTGCCGTTGCCACCCTCGTTGTGCCCGTGGAAGTTCCTGAAGGCAAAGAAGTGCATCATCTGGTAGAGCTCCCACCCAATCGGCGACGACCTGGGGGTAATCAGCATGCGCAGCACCCCCAACATTCCAGCTGTACAGCGGGAACTTCACCAGCGAATTCAGTTGCG